TCCAATGACTTATCATGTTGAAAGCAAAGTCTAATCATGTTAGCCAAACATAACCACATTTTTCATATTTGATTGGTAATGCATTTCCCATGTTTCTATGAGACATAGCCAAACACTAGAAATGTATTTCCCAATTTACATCTAAATACTATCCAAACAGTGACAATCTATTTGCAGGTAATGTACTACGTCAATAATATATTTCAGAGACCATATAATTCCCGATATCCAAACGTATAAACTTTTTCTATCACATCATGCCTCCTAGCACCGAGGAATTAGAAAAACGTGTTAGAGTAAGGCCGATGGTTGGAACTTAAAAAGTCTCATGAAAAGGCGGAAGAATCTTACTAGAATGGTGTTGGCAACTTGCATAAACCTCTTCCTAAAACAAAAGTGGGTATACAACCGCAACTCGCTCAAAGACGGATGGGCTGAACTAAAGTTTTATTGTATTAGCCTGATTAAGTAAACAATCAATTGTTACTTTTAATAGCTCAAATTATCGTTTATAATTAAAAAGAAAAATAAAAATAATAGTTTTGCCTCCTGGACTAGAAAAGAGACTGACAAAGTTTAGCCAATAGATTAAATAAGTATTTAAAAGCTTGAATTGATATGATGAACCGGCCTTCAAGAAACTTGTTTGGATCGGTGAATTTTCAATCCATATCAACGATTTTACTGAGACAATTGGACAAAAAAAAAAAGATATCGAGAACAACAATAAAAACTAAAATTTATAAATAAATAAAATATGGGAATTAAGAGATGCAGCTAGGCTAGATTGCCTGGTTTCCAGGTAGAACCGATCGGTTATGTGGGAAACTGCCGATTCTTATCCAACTTGGAACCATAGAATTCCTGATCTAAATCAATTGATTCTGATCTGGATCGCTATTTTCTCAAACACTATTTTCTCAACCCATCTGACGAGCTTATCACAACCATAGATTTGTGGTTGTCAAGGTTATTATGTTATACATGCCTATAGGACAAAAGCACACGCACCTCAAAAGATCATCCAATGATGCTATGCATAATCGTGCTATTATTCTAATCAATATTGATCATGCTATTATTCTAATCAATATTTAAGAACTTAGTCCTACCCAGTGCTAGGAAACCAAATGATATGATAAAGCACATCGTCGGCCCACTCATCTATTTATATGAATCCTCCCTCAAAAAATTATCTTAAATATTGGTTTTAGATTAAAATTTTTTCGCGAGTGACAATCCATACCATGGTGAATATAAATATAAAAATATTAAATTTAAAAATAAAAAATTATTTAAGGTATTTTTTGAACCGTTGATTTATAGATTTGCTAAGAACACCACCTTTTTCTATGTTTGGGAGGTGCATTGAAATGTCAAATCGGTTAAAGGTGAAATAACGTTTTCTCTCTATACACATCAATTTTCTCCTTTTAGTACAAAATTCTCTACAGTTTTTAGAACTATTTATAAACTTTATAAACTTGATGTTTCTATATTTATAAACATTATGTTTCTAAAAAAGAGACACCTCTAGTACTCTTGATCTTGTTATACTTGTGCATTTCTATTAATAATATAGTTTGTCTCCGGAAAACAAATTTGCCTGGAGACCTTAAATGCACACTGATTCATAGTTAAAAGGAAAATATTGTCTCATGATAGCGATTCATTTGTGCCAGGAAACAAGAAGATTGAGGTTCCTCAATTGGATTGCATAATAAGGTTTTGTAACTCCCCTTTTATTGCCCCTTTCACCAACAATTTTTAACATTCTATGGAGCAGTTATTTTGACTTTCATCATCTCTAACATAATATTGTTTAAAATGTAGTGACTTGCACTTCGGCCCGCATTGTTATTATCCGATGTATAAAACATGGTTTGGTGATCTTGATCACCCCTATGGATTTTCGTTTTGCTGAACCGAATATAACAAATTTTTTTTAAAAAATGAAAAATAGGGGACCGGTTCTCCGATGCAACGGGTGGTTATATTAAAGAATTGGCCGTGTAATGAGAGGAATTGTTCGGTTCCCGATATTTAATGGGAGCTATACTGTTCCCGATATTTTATGAGAACCGGTTCGGCTTTAATAATTTTCAATCCGAATAGGGCGATGACGATCATATTGATCTTTTTTAAACATTGTTATTACCACTTTTCTAATACAAATCAAAACTAGATTGGGCTTCCTCAATGTGCTATAATTCAAGTTTTTTAGAACCCCCTAGTACTCCCCGGCCATCAAGTTTCAAAGATAGACATGTGTGGTCCCTCCACTCAAAGCTTATTGAGATTTTTACAATACTTTGAGATGAGCAACAGCAGATGCTGAATTTCAACACTTTTAACTATTAGTGGAGATGACGGTGTGACGTGCCCTAAAAATATCGCACCTTCGTAGTATTATTTGTTTGAAATACACTAGTTAGTATTTCAAACTAAATATCCTTTTTATTTAGTGTTTTGGAAAAACAATGTATTAAAAAATATATATTGTCTTTTTATACAAAGCACAAAGACGTGTGTGAAGGAACAAGGGTGTTTTGATGACACACTCTGCACTCACTATCTGTTATATTTTATTATATTTTTACGAGGCTCAACTTAAGTTTGAATGTTGTTGGTAACCAAGGTGAAGTGAGCTTTGGATGCGGTTTGCAACAGCGCAACTGCAGTGAAAACGGGTTGTAGCTGTTGAGGCGCATGTACATGGTATCGTTGTAGCGGGTGAGGAACATGTATTTGTAGCTGTTGCGAGCGAGGGGGTTGGGCAGACCAACTACAAGGGTGGGTGGTACTACCTAGCTAGTATAGGTACTTAGGCAAGCGCCAAGCCTAGCTAGTACAGGTTCTTAGGCTGGCACCTAAGGTACATCACCTATCTAGGTGAAAGAATACCCAGGATCTAAGGGACATCACTTAAAAAAAATACCCCCCATCTAAAACAAGATTACTGGATACCCCTTGCTCCCTTTCGAACTTAGACCACTCAGGTTCTAGCCTGCCGCCTAGGCGCTAGGCAGCCTAGACCCTTCCAACTGCTTAGCTGCCGCCCGGCGTTTTTTACATTTCTCTCTAATAAGAAGTAGTCGAACTCCCATTTTCAGAAAACTCTCTATTCAGTTTTCGTTCTGTAGGCTTGCCTATTGCGTTTAATACTAAGTAGTATTTGTGTGACCTTCTGGTTTTAGATATCCTAAAGACTGTTTTGCCTGGTGAACCTTTTGCACACCATAATTTAACAGTAAAGGTGCAAAATATAATCTCGAGAGAGTGCTTTAGCGTGGCTTCAGCCCTGTTTCACCCACAAATTTTTCCAGCACTTCTTCCAGCAAAGTTCACAAAATCCTTACATCCTTTTGAGTCTCCATGTTGGAAACTTATTTTATGAGTATTTGCGGTTTTCCTTCTCACCTACATTAGAGATATCGTACTAAATTATACAAAGAGACAGTTTACTTTTAGTCCCAATTATTCTTGTCCATCGGATTTCAAATTAAATGGTTGAAAGTGTATCATTATTAAGCACATATTTCCAAAATATATTCTTGAACTTGGTGATACACCCCCAATTTGATATCTAATAGCTATGAGTAATTATGACCCATTTGAAACAAATATAAATAGTCATAATATACAATCCCTTATATTATTTATTGAAACTGATATACATTAATCATTTTCTCATTTTCTATTAAATAACAAAAAGGGAAAAAAGATCTTGTTAACGTAAATATTGAACGAATTATATTCAAAATATATTGAACAAATATTGTATATACTCAGGTTTGTGTCGCAGTTGACATTGGCAATGTCATATCTCAAGTTTGATTTTTATCGCTAAACTATACAAAAAAACTAAACATTGTATATTTTGTATATCAAGTATGATTTTTGGGAAGCCACTCACCATTTGATCTTAGATCAGACATCTCAAAGTATTTTATTTTTAGTTTTTTTTATATAAATTTAAGAATATGAAATTTGGTACGTGTCATCTTCTCATTGGGACGCACCTATAAAAATATTAAAAATAATTTTTCGATAAAATATAATGATCAAAATACCCCTTGAAGCTTTTAAGGGTATTTTGGTTATTTTATTTTATTGGAAATATTTATCTTATACTTTTCGCTAGTGCGAGTTTGATAGAGGATTGGACGTCCAAAATTTGGTGGTAAAATAGTTTATAGAAAAAAAAAATTAAAAATAAAATAATATAGAGATGTGACATTATAATTGGGACAATCTTAGCCTTCCATTCAGAATGCATGCAGGGTTGGATAAGGGGAAATATATAAGTTTTATGCTGCAGGAAAAAAAAAAAATGCCAAAAGATATTCTACTACCTCAGGAGTATACTCTCAACTACTCCCTCTTGGTAAAATCCAGACTATGATTAATTCTAGATACTAAAGTTTTTGGGGATATAACCTCTTTAACAGGTAGATTAACCTCAATAGAGAAAAATCTAATTTTTTTAAGGGACAATAAAAAAAAAAAAAATCTAATTGCACCCTCTTGAAAACAAATATTGTATATTTTCCAAACATCAATCATTTTACATTATTTTGGATACGTTAATAAAATTTAACTATTTCAAAAAAAAAGAAAAAAGAGAAAGAAGAGACCATTAGGGGCTTGACTGGCAACTAAGTAATTGCAAGTTTCGGTGGTTGATTAAACTAGCATTTATAGCCGTTTATTTTGGAAGCCGCCGGTTAAGATGCCATTCACCAAAATTAGTGATAAGCACAATATCAAAGTAGGCAGTGAACGCATATATTGCTAAGTAAATATTATTTTGGATCGAGTACCAAATTAAAAGAGGAGATCGTTCTGTTTGATATACTAAAATAAGGGCCCAAAAAAGAAAAAAAAATCTTTATGTAATCTGATTATTTTCCTGAATTGAATTTATAGGTGATAGATAAAATGGATCAATAACGGATTAAAAAAAACCAAATAAATGGAAGAAAAAGAGGAATAAATACCTCATCGAATTCCAAAGAAGGGATCCATCCCTTTGAGATCATGTAATCGATCTCCTTCGCAATCGATTCATCAGAGAGTGGGGGCAAGTAAGAGAGAGTCTCAAATTTCTTGTTGCTGATCGGATTCCATGTCTGCAAAAATTTCCATTAACAAAAATAAAAGGAAAAAGAAGAAAAAAAAAAGATTAAGACTCAAAGAAAACCAGTGAGGCATATATACTGAAAAGACCAAAAAAGAATCGGTAGAGAGAGAAAATTTGGTATTATAGTGGACTGACCTTCATGCAGCGAGTCCTTCCACCGTTGGAGACGGTTTTTTGGCGAAAATTGGTAGAGAGTGAAAGAGAGTTAAGGGCGGTTTTGGTAGTGAGTTTGGGGGCGTCGGAGAGGAACGCCGTCGCTGAGGGGAGGATTCCGGCGGCCATTTTCCGTTTCCGGTTGTGGAGAGAAAGAAAGAGGGGTTTTTTAAGTGGAGGTGGTTTGTGAGTGACGGTGGGCTGGGCGGCGAGGAGCCAGTTTCTGTTGGGGAAAAAGACACCGAAAAATATGGGCTGGGGGACGGCTAGTACGAGGCGAAGCTGGTTTTCATTTTTTTTTTTTATGGTTTCGTGATCCCGCGGGGTATACTGTCCATTTGATCCCTCAGATAAAAGGGCAAATTATAGGGGAAAAGTTTATGTAGAGCTGAGGCTCTAAATAATCAAATTAGAGCCTACCTATAAAATTTCACTAGAAGAGGCTGTTTTGATACCCATATATCCTTAAATTGGTCATCTCGATGTCAAGATGCATAGACATGAGAAAAAATGGATTTCAAGTATTGGAAATAATATATTTTGTAACGTATATTTGGACCGTCAATTTTCAATATTTTCAAGTTTTCATAGATTTATCAATCTACACTATTTTTAAAGCTTTAAATTCTATAAATAAAGATAAAAATATATTTTAATGTCATCACAAAGATTTTCAATATTGAAACCATATTTCTTGAGACTATTTGAAAGTAGGCTCTAATTTGATTGTTTAGAGCCTAGGTTCTATACAAACCACAAAAAAATATAGATACCCCCAACTTAAACTTCCCCGCCCCCCCCTCCCCCCCATCCTATCCCGATTAGTTTATTTATTATACCTCAAACCCCAACCCTATTTTTCTTTATATCTACCCCCAAGTAAAATAGTCAACAAGTTCAAATACCAACATTTGTTCTCTCTCTTCCCCTTTTGAAAAGATCCGTGATATGCAACTAATTTGTCTAAAAATGCACTTTCTCTCTCTATCTCTTTTTCCACTATCTCTCACATTCTCTCTCTTTACCCACCTACTCATGTTATCTCTCTATCCATTCTTTCTCTTTCTATCTACCCACCGTCACTCTCATTCTCTCTACACCAAATGATACAAGGCTTGAAAATACGGTCCGGCACAATTGGTGCCGGAACGAATTTGTTTTTTACGGTCTGACATAAAATGTGCTAGACCGCACAAAAAAAAATCGTTCCGGTACAAAGTGTACCGCACAGGTAACTTTCCACAAGTTTTATGGCTAAAAAATGTGGTCCGGGACAAAATGTGCTAGACCGCAAAAACAAATTTCGCCATAAGTTTTATAGCTAAAAAATGTGGTACGGTACAAAATGTGCTAGACCGCAAAAACAAAAAAATTGCTATGGTACAAAGTGTCCGGGATTGGTACAAAGTGTCCCAGACCGGTAACTTTTTTAAAGTTTTATAACTAAAAAATACGGTCTTACACAAAATGTGATAGACCGCAAAAAAGGGTAAGTATAGAGAGAGAGATAGAGAATATTAAAATAATAAGTTGGAAAGGGAAGAGAGAGAAAAAAAAAGGGCATTTTAATTAAAAAAATTTGACTATTTGACTGGGGGTTATATACAAAAATAAATAGTATTGGGGTTTAAGGTACAATACAAAAAGTATTGAGAGTAAGATGTATAAAAAGTTAAATTGAAAGACATCTATAATTTTCCCAAACTTAATACATTACTGGGTTACATTTAGGGGCTCAAGTTTTGGGACGTAACCTCTTTGACTTGCAGACTGAGCTCAATAACAAAATTTCAAATTTTTGAATTTTGCTTTCTAAGTAGTAAAAAAATAATGTTTTAAGATTGAATAGAAACTGTTTACCTATTGGAGGGTGGGATCTAAGTGTATGATAACTCAAAATCTGGTTTTCTTCTTTTTTGTGGGATCTAAGTGTTAGAGAATTAAAATATCCACTGTCGTTCCTTTTGAAATATTCATCGACTGCTTATATTAGATGGTTCCCAAAATGCGAGGCAAAAAAATTCTCTCTAAGTCTTTGCATGATTATATATATTGGGTGAGATTCATATATGAAACATGAACCTTTTTATCAAATTCGCTTTGCTTCGGCCGCTTTCAGATTTTTGGCATAAATTGAAGTGAAGTAAAGCATGATGATGCCACTTTGGTCAGATTCAGACCGCTTTGTATCTAATTTGGCAGTAGCTTTAGGCTGCTTATGTCAGAAAGAAATACATTTTTTTTCCATTTTTTTTATATTTTATATATAAATATCTAATTATATTAAACTAAAAAAAAAATCTGAAATCTTCCCTCGAATCGGCTGAAACATTGCTTCATTTTCTTACTAAACCAAAGAAGACTCCGAAGTGAATATGACAACATTGCTTAAACCTCCAAAAATGATGCTAAGAGATTAAGTTAATCCATAAACACTTCAAAGAGTTACAAGATAAGCTATTATATGACTTAAAATTTCATATCCATACATCTCAAGATTGAGATGATCAATTTGACGGTTTTCTAGCAAGGAAACAACCTATTCTGATGGGTTTTTAAGGTGCGTCTTACTTTAATAGTATGGAACATCAATTCCTTTAACACTCGTGTAGATATTATGAGTGAGAGTAGTATAAGGTGCCGCCTTAAACAATACAAGTCGGACAACTTTAAATTTTGCCGTAGTCAAACTTACGATTGCTTGAAAAAATATGTTCGACTTTGAAATTTAAAATATCAAAAAAAAGTGCAAATCGAACAAATTTGTAATTGAAAAAAAACAATTTATTGAATTTTTGAGGTGCACTTTACCTCTAAAGTATAAGGTTATAACCTTAATATAAACTTTTTCCAAAAATTTATCGGACAAGGCATTTCTCTATCCCATTGTTTTTAACTTCAAAAAAATGCGGTAAAAATCCCTTAAATCACTTTAACCACAACGCAAAAAGGGGTAGGTTGTCTTTCACGTTATGGGTGGGTTTTGGAGAGAGATACACGGGTTTTTCAATATAGCATTACAGTAGAGAGAGAAAAAAGAGATGCTTATGGGTTTTCTTTCTTACTGTTAAATAAATGCAAAAAAAATAAGAAATAAAAAATAAAAAAATAAGAAAATAAAAAATAAAAAGAAAGAATATCAATTGTTGCCAAATATAAATGATCTCGTAGTATACAATTCCAATTTTGCGACATTGGAAACATCCGCAGATGTCCGATATCTCGAACATCAAACACCCCATGGGCTTGACTTCTAGGGTTGTCCAACATAATAAATATCAAACAGACCAACAAATAGGGTTGTTCAGCATTTCTAATGTCATCCGATCTTTGAATAAAGGAAAATAGAAAAAATTGTGAATTTCCCACTTGTCTGATGATGAAGATCTCCGACAAGGGGCTGCATATCAGAAATTCAATTCTAGACTGTAGATACTCTTTGACATGTTACAGTACAAATCCTGCAATATTCTCTCTCTTCTCTCTCTCTCTCTACACATAGATAAACACACACAACATATATAATTATATATATTGAATAACAATGACAAACATTCTGCATGTTTTCAGGTGTGATGAGAACGGTGATGGCAAACTTTTGGAAGACAAGATGAAGGAGATGTAATCATTAACCCTGTAAACTTCAGAACACATACATTGCCTATTTCTCCCTTTGAAAAAGAAAAGAAAATAGTAATGGTAAGGATCTCTATCTCCCTCTAAAGGTTATTGTGTTGAGCGCCTCAGCCAACAAGCTAGCAAAGCTCAATGAGCATGTTGAAACTTTTGCTGCAGCGACAATGGAGAGCTCAACCTGAACATTTAGGTACTATAGGGGTATACACATATATGCAGTCTCAATGTTAGGCTATTCAACGATTTTATCCATGAAATAACAAATCTAAAATCATAGAGAGCATGGATTCATTGCAATTAAAAAGCTGTTTATCAATTCAGTTGATAGTGAAAACAATGAATTCGGACTTTCACATGCTATTCATCTACAAATGAATGATTATGAAATGCAAAGATTGCAACAACTATACTGATCCAACGTTTATTATTCTGATTACTTTACACAATTAACCAACCAGTCCCTTCTAACGAGCTGTATTTTCCTATTGCAATTCTTCTTAAATAAATCTAGAACTATTTGAGGAAAAGTATATCATAGTCCAAGGCAATATGCTCCCACAATTAATCCACATTAGAAAACTTACTCCCCATTACTGGTCCATTCGACTTTATGCACAGATACAGCAGTTTGAGACCTTAATACAAGGCATAGTGAAATCACAAGGGGACGAAGCCTTTGCAAAGAGCAGCAAAACTCTCACTATGGCCATGATCACAAAGAGATATTAAACCCAGAAACAGATAACTTCATTTGGCCACAGAATTTATGCATGACAACTGGAAGAGGACATGGATAGTTCTTCTCTGGATCATTGCAAATATAGCTCTATTTACATGGAAATTTACACAATACAAGAGTTCAAGTGATAGGGTCCTGCATGTGCACGGTGAAAGGGGCAACAAACTTGAAGCTCAACATGGTGCTTACACTAACTACCAATTTGCCAAAACTCACATGATAACAAGGCCAAGGTTGAGATTCCCAGCCAAAGTTGTGCTCTTTGATGACAGCATCAACTTTCACAAGGTGAGGCACGGCACAGACAACTGAATCAAATCATTCCATAGCATCATGCAACTTACCTGCAGATTGCATGCCCCAATGCATCAAACATCCATCTTTAAGGTGGCCCTACCAAAAACTAAAATGAAATTTGGTCTTTTAGAATCATGGTTGAGATTATCAACCCCTAAAATTTTGGATTCAAAATCCAATAAAGATCAGTGTTTTAAAATGCGGCTGCATCGCCGCATATGCGACCGCATCATGCGGGATGCACTCACATCCGCATCAGGCGCATATGCGCTTTTGACAGATGCAGCCGCATATGCACCGCATCGTAGCCGCATCCCGCATAGGCCACATTGCACCGCATCCCACTGCTACAGTGTCCGCTGAATTTTTTCCTGTTTTGCCCCTCGAGGAGGGATAAAATGGTCTTTTTGACCATCCAAATGTTAGGGAAACTGTTTGGGGGGGTATTAGGGCCCTAAATGAAGATTTTCAGCCACTTTTGTGGCTTTTTTTGCATCAAATCGAGATAAAAACAAATTTAAGCGAAATTTTTTTTTTCATCTAAATCTTCGATTTGGCGGTTGTTTGATACTTGGATGTTCATTGGATGCCTTTGATTGTTGATTTGGAAATGTTACGGTGAATTTGTGACAAAAAATCGGGGGTTTCAGAGGTCGTACAGAAATCGAGCAGTACTTCACAGAGTCGGTAAATTTTTTCTTTCTTGTACAATATTACTATTATACATATTTTTGGAGCAATGTATTCTTCCCAATCTTCTAATAATAAAGATCCGGCTTGGAATATACTAAACTAAAAACTCCCAAAGATAGAAATTGTGTGATATGCTTGCTCTGTGGAAATACTTATATGGGTGTATAACTGGATACAAAATCTCCGACAACTAATAGTTTTGAAGTTAATCATTAAACTAACATACCTACTATCACATATATCACCTTCAATTGTTTTCTAGGCATTAACTTATTTTTAAAAAAAATTTACAATTTTTTTACATTTATTGATCGCATCATCGCGATGCACCCTCATCCGGGCCGCATCGCTGCATCGGCCCCCGACCGCATCAGGGCCGTATCCCGCATTTTAAAACACTGTTAAAGATCCATCTCTAAGATAGATTTTGGAAGGGGGATGCATGTAAAATCTCAACCCCTAAAATTTTGAATTCAAAATTCATTAAAGATCCATCTATAAGATGGATTTTCGAGGGGGAATGCATGTAAATATATGAACAAGTTGACTCACCAAAACCTTACCCTTTTCTTTTAGAATGAGATAGTAGTTACATCAAGTTGAAAAAGAGGTAAAGTACATACTAACATGGTCTAGTGCAACGTTGATGAAACCATGGACTCAAGCTCAGGGTAACTAGGCTCTGTATTTTGAATAGAGAAACGGGAAAACAGGAAGCAATTCTGAGACTTATCTTTAGAGGTTTACCTCTAGAAGAGTTTTTCTTTTTTCTTGGGTAAGTCAGAGGGGAGAGGGCCCCTACCCTTGGTAGGAATTGAGCCTAAGATGTAGCAATGCAAATCGTCAAGCGCTTAACTAATCAAGCCTAGGCACTTTTCCCACCTCGGAAAAGTCCTAATCATAGAAGTGAACTTTGCCATAAGTCAGTCCCATGCAATAGCGAGAACTAATTTCCAGAGAGGGGTTGCCAACTTGGGATAGGGCTCAAAGGGGTAATTGGGTGGTAAAGTTTCATCTCCAGCAAGCTTCTAGGCCTCTTTTTGATGGCTTAACCACTCCAAAGGTTTGGCGGCATTTTGTTGATAAGCAAGGTCAAATTAGGGAGGTACCCAAGAATAGTAGTGAGATAAGATGGATTGTTTAAAACCCAGTGGGTGGAGAGGAAATATAGCCCTGTTCCAAAATTTTGGTCCACCGGAACAAATGGGCATGAAGGCTGACAGAGCTGTGTGCGCCATGATAAATTAGAAATCATAGTTTCACATAATAACGATCAGAAAAAAAAAATTATTTTTTCTTCTTCTTAGAAATTTCAATTGTCTTTGTAGCTTTTCTCATCTTCTCCTGAGATATCCCTGAAAATATGATATTCTCAAAAGTTCCCACTAAACTACCTCACAAAGAGAGAACAGAGAACAAGATACAACTCAATTAAACAAAATTTCCGTCATAAAACAGAGGTGATTTTTAATTTATTTTATCATAAAAACAGGAAGAAATTTTCTTACACCTCTCTTCCATTTGGCATAGCAATTGCAGACACGGTCCACTCAGGTCATCCATCTTGGCTGTGATTTTCCCAGAAGTATGTCATTCTCAGAAGCGAAATCTTTTAGAACAATCGGACCCATTCTCAGAAGCGAAATCTTTTAGAACAATCGGACCCAATTTCAATAACAAGCAACCCACTTTCCTGTGCCAGGTCTCCAGCTTCCTGGTATGAGAAGCATCACCATTGTCTCCTGTCTCCAGCTGCCCTGATGTGAGTTGAATCATCATGATCTTTCTCATGTTGCTTTACAAGAAACTCATGAAATTGGGTTGCCCCCCACCATTTGGCTAGGTTCAGTGCCTTCTGGCATGCACACCACCTCTTGGCCATTTGGCCACCTTCTCCTCATCTTTAATGGCTGCTTAATGTATGTTACAAGACCCTGGTAGAGAAAGACCGAAAGTATTTCAAACCCAGGTTTATAAAGAGCTAATAGCAAACAGCAATGGAATGTATCATAGTCGAATCGACTTCAGAAGTCCATAATTCCATCAGGTTCTCACTCCAATGATAGGATGCCCGTTAGTTGAAAGTGGATGCCATCAGAATAAGATCCCAAGGTGGGTCCCACTTTCTTTATAACTGCCCATCATTAGATTGGATGGTGATGACGCAATGGAAAATGGTGTTCCATAGTCCATTGGTACTTGCACGAATTTTTACTGCACCTAATATTGATATGTCATTCTAGTGTACTTGATGTTCCAGATGTAATCTACATCACTGAAAGGATAACCAGATTTTCCAGATGTAATCTACATCAGGTCAGCCTCATCACGGTATCTGAAACTGTCACGTTATGATACCAATCGGGTGCTCTTTTATTCTGGTAAATAATCTCTGGATCAAAACATGTGCAGGCTACAATATAATCATAACATGTATTGGCATTGTGTAGGAGTAAACCTCTGGAATATCAAAAGAGTGGGAGATAGCAGTTCACAAACTGGCAGAGCCTCCCCTTTTGAATGGCTATCGCTTCTCTAAGCAAGCTTTAGTAAGCTCTTTTGAAAGACATTGAATTCTAGGATCCTATTTGTAAAAATGTCTCAGATTCTCCCTCTAAAAGCACACTTCCTTAATTTCTAAGACCTCATCTGTGTGCCCCTCTTCAATCACACACTCTCTCTCTCTACAGGCACCCCTTCTTTATTACTTTTTCACCAGGGGATGACTACTTAAGCAGGGGATTGGACAACTGAGTTGAAAAAGCAATTTGCAATGGTCTTCTCCTATCTGAAGCCGCTATGCCTAGTACTGAGCTCTTTTCAGATTGCTTTCATTAAATCAATCAGCAGTCTGCATTTGTTCCATTAAGGCCATCCAGGTGGAACATTCAGTAAGAGTAGCTTGACTAGGATTGAAACCACGGTATATACTGATGCGGATGTTCCCCATCCAGGCAGAAACCACCTATAAGTTGCTTTTGACTTGAGCAAGGGGATCAAAAGATTTTTGTTTTTGTTTTCATATTCCTTCTGTTGCAGCTTTCCAAAGCTTCGCATTGATGAACCATATGGTGCCCCAGCTAAAAATTACAAGAAATATGACAATACTTCTGCTTATTGGACTGGGAATAGGAGCAATTGAGTCTTGGACTGGGAATAGCAGCAATGCCAATGATCTCAACGATATCAAGTTCCACGAGTTTTTTGACAGAAATTGACCTGTATTAAGGAAAAGGAAGACATTACAAAAACGAGCCCCTCAAAGGAGCAGTATATCACCAAGAAGTTGAGTTAAATACAAAAAATGCTATCCATTACAAAAAATAGCCCCTCAACGATATCAAGTTCCACAAATTTTGCTCCATTGATAGTCTTAATCGCAAACATATGCATGAACCTTAGAAAGTGAAAGTACGGGGAAATAAAGGAAAAGAGACCAAATCAGGCCTATTCCTATTGGATCAAGAGAAAAGCCTCTTTCGAATGGTTCAAAGGGATCATGAATGAAGTTGCAGAGTTTGGTCAGTGTATGTTCATAATCAAACTGCTTCAACTCATTCCATAATACCATAAGTATACCTCGATTACTAACTAAATCCTTGATGAGATCAATTGTTGCAGGAAGTCACAGAAATGCACAACTACCTATTAAGTGTGCACAAATGAGATACTCGATAAGAACTCATTGCTATTATTCAATCACTGCAACAGGCTAAAAATGGAGTGGATATTGTCTAGAGCCAGTAAGTCCTTCCACAAGAAGTTTTCCAATGAAATTTTTCCATTTGTTCTACAAGCTCAATGTATTTACTACAGAAACTGGCAGAAAAGACAGGAACTTTAACGTTCAGTAAAGCCAGACACACACACACTTAGCAAGACCCAAGTAGAGGAAAGTGCTCACTGAAATAGCCAATACCCATAAAACATCATGTATTAGATACGATAAAAAGGACAAAATAAAACAGATTGATCTTTTAAGTATCGACCCCCTTGAGGCTAAAATTGACATAATTGGAATCTCTTACGGGAATTGCAGGTGTCCTCTGCTGTGGAACACCTACACTTACGAAGAAGCTCAGGAAGCTCTGTCAAGAATCCAACCACAGAACCAGCACCCACTTCCACTCCCACAAAGAGAATTTTTAGTCCACTGAGCTTTTCAACAAATGCAACCTTCAACAAATGATTGCATACAATCTTCCATTCTCTTCTTTTTGTAAACCCTCTCTTCCCAAAAACTGGAGCTCCACAAGAAAATGAAAAAGATGAAGTCGAGAAAATCTAAGAGTGGACATAGAGCTTGCTTTCATTATTTCATTAGGCATCTTCCCAATGCAGTTTTCATGTGGTCGTCCGTTATGCAGCCACTTCAATCAGAGCGTTATCTCAGTCTCTTTCATCAATTCATTATTACAATCTCTAGTTAATTCCACTGGAATCGTGAGTGGAGATTTCTGTTGAATGTTTTCAATTTTCCCTGACCTCCTTCCCCTTTTTGCTTTACCAGTTTTCCCTTTAGGTTCATTGGATCGTTGGGCCCTTCCAGGATTTAATGGGCTTATCATACTGTTGGAGTTAACCATTTTTCTTGGCCTCCCTCTTCCTCTGGGTTTTGTATCACCTTGGAAATTTCCTATTGACCCATTGTTTCCCTGCTCCCCATTTTTTTCTAGATTCCAACTCAACTTTCTAACATTCAAAGAAGTAAAATTTTTAAGGTAAACTGATTGTTTGAGAATTCTTGCAGAGAGTTCGACCAATGGGATCCCAATATCGAGTGGTTGAAGAACCTCTTTTAATTCATCCCAGTCCAGATCTTCAAAGTCGCTATCTTCATATATAACCCTGTACCAATCTGTTTCTGCGTCATATTTCACCACCTTCCCAGAATAATAACTTGTCCCAAACAACTTTCTAACGTTCCTGCCCTCCAACCATTGGCCAAAGCCTTTATGACAACAAGACTCTGCATCGGTTGCAGAATCTAGGTTTACATGAGAAGTACTACTGAAGTTTTCAACATCTGGGACCCCATTTATAACGATTGCAGGTTCTCTTGATACCTCAAAAATACATGTGGACAAAGCCTCGGTGTCCCCGACCTTGCAAGCTTTCTCCATAATAACAAATAATTCCTCTTTTATTTGGAACTTCACAAGAGCCGGTTAATGGCAACCTGAAATGCACATAGAAGCGTTAGTCACTACAAGAATCAATCTTATAACAATGATGACACATTCAAAAAAATGCGTCTGTCAGGAGAGTGAATATGCCATAAAGGGAAGTACAGAATCGCCTGTGAAGAGCCATGGCACAAGCGGTCATGACCATCATTTAAATGATGAACAGAAGAGGGAGTGAGGCCATTCTGTGCTGCCGTAATCAGTTCCCTTCCTTCTGTTATTGTCCACCATTTCATCAAATAGTCATGATCCCTTTGGACTGTGATACTTCATGGTCCATTGGGCTACACTAAATTTCCCTTGGGAGAGAATCCCACTAGGAAATAATTTTACTGTTTGAAGACCATTCTGCAATGAGATGATATCCTCATGTCTAAATTCATTAATGAAATAACGTCCTATATCCATTTCAATACAAGCATCGCAGGATGACTTTTGTGAAACAATCCCAACTAATCTCTTGAAGTTAATCAATGATACCAACTGTATCACTCCTTGAATGCACCCCAAAATTATCCATAAAAGATTTCTATTAATTCTTCCTTTGAGTAATGTATTATTATATAAGGAACCCAACTCCTCTTCTAAAATGTATACAGCTAGTAATGAATCTTGTTCAAACTGGGCGTCAATCAGTGTAAAAACTACACGATACGAGAATCCGCATCTGACCGGGATTTGAAGAGTCTGACTCACCTACTTATAATTTTCCAAGACTGTAAAAATTCAAGGGTCTTGATATATTTGTATATAAAATTAATTTGTGGGTCTTTAATAAAAAAATTCACTTAAAAAAGAAACATGGGGGTCCAAATCACAGACACTCGTGTCCAAATCATAAGAACTGTGTGCCCTTTCCTTTCTTACAAGAAGGAAACCTGCAGCATAAAATACAGAGGGATGTCTAGCAAAACAGCATGCCTTGTTCGTCAAATCTGTAGGCCAGCATGTCCACATGGTAGGCATGTCGTATTTGTGAATCACAAAAATGAAAATTTCCAGACATGGATTTCCCATATCTGAATGCGTGTTGCCACACATTTTTAGTGTGCTGGCATGTTGGATTCTCTTAAATGCACGTGACACACATGTTGTAATTACATAAGTTACAGTTACATAACATTTCATTGTTAGAATACCAGCTTTCATAGAACAAATCAATAGGAGGTTGACTTCCTCTATCATCCATTAAAAATATACATTTACCACACTAAAATATTAAATTTGCTTATTAATTAAGAATATAATCTTGTTTGGATCTTAAATATGACAATTGTCCAAAAGAGCTTTAACAGGGTACAGTCCTTACTGTAAGTTAACAAAGATAAACAGGCTAGCAATAACAGACTAGGTATTTACAGGACACGTGAAAAAAATAGAAGTCCAGTTTTCCAATTTTAGAAGAGAATCGGTCTTTGTCGCTGGTAACTTAAATAATTAAAAGACTTTCTGCTTGATATATTGAAAAGGAAAAAGAAAATAACTTGAACTCGTAGAATTTGAGTGATTTAAGAGAGTTTTTCATCTAATAACAATACAAGCCGAAAAAAAATAAACAGAGAGAGAGATACCTCTAATATAGCTAAATCCATTCAGAGCAAACTAACAAGTTTCTTTTCGCCAGAAAAGAAGAAACATTAATATGATAACTACTAGAATTTGGGTAGCAAAATGGATACACAAAACTGCAGAAGTAACAAGAAAAATTGACGGGTAGTTCAAGCAATACCAAAAGAGTAGTACGAAATCAAGTAAATCAAGAAGCTAACAGCTGGCTAGCCATTAGAGAATTAAGTTCATCCACAGAGGACAAGTGAAACCACATAGTTTTCTTAATTGACATACAATTTAGTGACAGATCTCCATTTTTTTGAAAAAAAAATGCAAGGATGCCATAGCTATTTGATGCAAATTGGAACATACAAAGAAAGACGAAACAAATATTCATCCATTATATCATGAAAGAAAGTCTCAAGAACCAATACATCTCATAGTTTTCCAAGTCATGGCCTACAATTCAAAATCAATCAAAACTCAAAGGACTTACACAGAAAAACTCAAAACAAGAAAACAAAGATGATGAAATCAAATTTCAGGTTGAATTTCATCCTCCATAGCGACAAAATGTCCATCTCTACGACCAACACTAGATGCACCTAAATATGATGATGGTGCCAAACCAACATGATCAGAGTCATCCCCCACCTCACATTCCTCTTCATCCGAAGCCTCCTCTCAATCTGCTTCATCCTCATGCTCCTCTCCCACACTCTTTAGCCTCTTCTCCTTCCCTTCCTTTGAGACTGAGACCTAATAGCACATAGGGGGATCGATGCAGTTCTAGCTGCCCCATGAACTTAATCAACATGCAAAGAAGGTCACTAATGAGACATAAAATATTAGAAATATAACACCAAGAAATTCAAAAGGGGTAATATAGATGCAAAATTAAATTTATTGCCCCTTTTCAACCTTTGGACAACTTGAGGACTAAAAAATTACAATAAAACTCAGTATGTTTGAGATTATTGATATCCTCTTAAGATGGCCTTAGCCAATCTCAATAAAACGTCAACAAACTCAAAACAAGACCCACACCCAATAGGGGCCAATAATTCAATGCCAAAAATGCTAAAAAAAAAAAGGCACAAAAACATAACCAAGTTGAATAAAAACAAGAAAAAAAAGAAATCCAAAACATAATATTCATAAATATAATTAAAGCCTAAGCCAAGAAATGAAACACTAACCTCTCAAAACCCAGTTCAAGTCTCAAAAAGACCATTCTTACAACTAGTTCAAGTCTCAAAAAGTTTCAAAATAAATAATTTTTTATTTCATAAGATATCGAAAACTTTGAAATATTCTTGGATCTTCAAAAAACAAAAATCAAAATCTTGTTTTTGAGATTATTTTTGAAGTATAAAATGAGCAAAAAAGATCAATAATTCTGTGATTTCCGAAAGATAATACTTCATGGTAGTTTTTGGAGCTTTAGTGGTTGAAATTGAGGACTTCTAGTGACCCAATAGACGACGTTTGGGCTGACATCGTTTTCATTTTGATATTTTCGAGCATTATCAGTTTTGAATAAGGATTTTAATTTTATTTTTTTTGCTATACCATTATCTTCATTTGTTTTTATTTTTTCTTTTTTGTCCTTTTATGATATGTTTATATGTTTGTATTTAAAAGATTGAATTTTTTTGTGATTTATTGATTATTTCCTCATTTGGCCGATGAAATTGGGCCTATATCGAATTCTTTTATAAATAATTGATTCCATTTTTGTACAACGTGTGATGTTTTGATATTCTATTAGTGTTGTTTTTTGATAAATTAATAACTATATTATATATTAATTCTTAAGTGAAGTTCTATATGATATTTTTTTTTTTTAGATTGATATCATACAAAATTACTCTATAAAATACAATATACACTATGCTATGTTTATGGTATTATGTTTCTTTAGTTCTTTGTTACTCATTTTGAGTCTTTTGAATGCATTGAGTCATTGAGGATAATTTACTTAGGGAATTTTATGTTGGTCAGATCTTAACCATGATGAGGAAGTTTATTGATTAACTAGATTTGACACCTCCTACATGTCCTTGCAATCTTTATATGAGCAGAAGGAAAAGTTAACGCATACGTTTGCATCTAAGGATTGGACCAAGTCCAAGTGGTCTAGGAAAGCTGATGGAAAAGTTGTTATGGATATTATCATGGCCACAAGATTCTGGAACAAGGTCCAGTATGCATTGTATGTCTGCTCGCCCTTTAGTCCCTTTAGTAAAGGTTCTCAAGCTGGTTGATGTAGAGAAGAAATCAGCTAAGGTGCAGATCTATAAAGCCATGGAGGACACAATGGAAGAAATCAAGAGATTTTTTAGGCATGATGAAAAGAAGTATGATGATTATTTGAAGATTATTGAAGATAAATAGAATTACCAGCTCAAGAGGCCCCTAAACTTAGTAGGATACTACCTTAACCCTGCTTACTTTTACATAGATCCTGGGGTACATAGCAGGCCTAAATTCATGGATGCATTCAACCAGTGCAATGTAAAGCTCAACCTTAATCCTGAAGTGCAGGACAAGATAATGATGGAGGTAGAGTTGTATAGGCTCGCTACTGGGACTCTTGGTAAGGAGGTAGCAGTCAAGCAGAGGTCCAATATCCCTCCTGGTAAGTTTAAAACTTATTCAATTGATTTTATGATTCAAGTATTTAATTTCAATTACCCAGATACCTAATTTACCAAATTATTGACATTTAAATTTATAGGAAATAGGTGCATGATAGATGGGCCATAGGGGAAGCCCCCGTCCTTTGCAGCAGATGCCCATGAAAATATTAAATCTAACTTGCAGCTCTTCTAGATGTGAACGCAACTTCAGCACCTTTAAAATGGTAATATCACTTATTTACTTAATAGTTAATTTAACATGTATTGAGTTAGTTAGTTAGTCGTTACTTCACAGTTACATAATAACTAAGTGAGTTTTTTCTATTAGGTGCATACAAAGAAGAGAAATAGACTAGAGCAAAAACGATTGAACGACCTAGTCTTTATTTAATACAATCAGAAGTTGCAAGAACGTCATCAACAGTTGGAGCACAATGAGAGGGAAGCTATTGAAGCTGTTGATATTGATGACACATGCGAGTGGCTAGTTGATGCTGATAATGATGAGGTATTCCTTGGAGAGGGTATAACCAGGGCCAGGTTCGTGAGGCTGCTAGGACAACAATGACCCCTATGCGTTCCCCTCGGGCTCAATCTCAAAGCCAAAGGAAGGGGAAGTAGAAGGCCCAGCAAGGGAAAGCAATAGCGAAGAAGAGGAAGAGGGTGATGATATCAAAAAAGGAAGAAGCAGATTCGGAGGAAACGAGGGATGACACTCAATATGTTGAGGAGGGAGATGACTCTTCATCATCAAAATTGGATACACTTGAACACCCCGTGTGGTGATGCCATATAGTTGTCTGGTTGACATTAGAGAATTGGGGTGGTGACAAGTCACATGTATTTGTTTTTTGTTTTTGCCTTGTTGATTTGTGTATTATTTCTAAACTTCTAATTTTCTACAATGACATTTGGCTTTCACACATTTTGATGTCTTATAATCTGTTTGAGTCTTTGTACCTGTAAATCTGTTCTGTGACTATACCATTATGTTTCCTCTTTTTTACGAGGGGTTTGGGGCCCTAAAAACTCCCTAAGGCCTAAAACCCTAGCCTAAGAACCTTTTTTTTGGGGGGAAGGGGGCGCCTAGGTCCGCACCTGGCCTCCTAGGCGGCCAGGCGCCTGACTGCACTTTTTTTAACATTGCAAATCATATTTAGCCAACTAAACTAGCAAGAAAGTTACTTATATTTCAGCAAATCATATATCACCCACTTATCAGTAAGTCATATATGAGTCATGTATCTATCAACAAGCCCCATACCAGCCACATATCAGAGAGTCATACATCACTTATATATCTACAACCGAGTCATATATGAGTCATTTATCAAGAGAGCTACTAATCATAACAAGCAAATCATCCATCAGCAAGACATATATCAGCCAAGTAAACTATCAGAAGGCTAGAATTAGAATTGTAGAATCATTAAAAGGAAAGGCAGATACTGCTCTAGTCGTGCATTTTTACTAATTAGCTCCACCAATATTACTGGTTTATCAATATATCGTTCAAAAGCATATCAGCCATTAACAAAAAAACAACGTAGTAGCAAAATACGGATAGAGAGAGAGAGAGAGAATGTACCTGAATGGTGTATCCCCTTGGGCTATGATTTGTGAGGAGCCTGTTTTGGCGTTTTGATAGTTCGTGAGAAACAAAGAGAGAAACTATGGTTAAGAGTGAGACTGCGAGTTAGAGGGAGAGAAATATTTGAGGGCAGATTTAATATTGAGAGAGAGAAAAATATATTAGGGTTTAGAGAAGGAGTGATCAAGATTGGGGCTGCTCTTCACATAAATAAATTCAGCAACGGACTTTTGGGGAGAGCTTATGGTGTTTCAATGAACAAAGAGATATCTGTTTGGAAGAGAGAGAGCCTTCGGTGACAGCGTAGCGGAGGAGAGAGCGCCTTCAGACGATGAATTTTGGATTAAATCATGGAGTTTCTGCATGGAAAAAGTTTATACAGAGCCGAGGCTCTAAACAATCAAATTAGAGCCCACCCCTAAAATTTCTTGAGGTTATTTTGATGCTCAAATATCCTCAAATTAATGATCTCGACATCAAGATGTATGGACATGAAAAAAAATGACCTTCAAGTGTTGAAAATAATGCATCTTGTAACGCATTTTGAGACTGTCAAATTTCAAAATTTTCAAGTTTTAATAGATCTGCTCGATCTGTATTATTTTTAAACTTGAAATTTTATAATTAAAGATGAAAATATATTTTAAAGCTATCATAAAAATTTCCAATATTGAAACCATATTTCTCAATATTATTTGAAGGTATACTTTATTTTGATTGTTTAGAGTCTCGACTCTACAAACTGTACCCATTGACTCCAGCTTTAATAATAAAGAAAAGAAACTGAATGATGAGGAATTTGATGAGAAGGATGAGTAGGCCAAGGAAGATATTATTTTAGCTTTAGATAAATATCCATTTTATTCAATGATTCATTAGAAAATACAAGAAAAGTTTTGAGATATGTTGAAAAATACTTACGATAGCGTCACTTCTAAATAATTTTTTTATCCATTGACAACTTTATGATCTCAAGATAAGTGATTAAATGAGCCTACTTAAATGAGTTTAGTGCCTTGATTAGCAAGTTAGTGGCACTAGATATGAAAATCAATAAAGAAGATAAAGTGGTCATATTACTTTGTTCATGCCTTATCATGTGATGGCTTGAATCTCAACGGTGCAAAGTCTCTTAAATTTAAATATATTATTCCAAAACTTTTGAGGGAGGAGTCTAGCCAAAAGTCTAGATATGATTCCCCTAGGAATGAGTTTGTAGCATAAGGTAGATCAATTGGAGAGAACTAAATAAAGTAGTCAGTCAAGATATAAATTGAGAGGGTGGAAGAAAGTGAAGTGTTGAACCATGAAAATTTAGGGCACGTGAAGAAGTATTGTAAGGTACCAAAAAGAAACCAAGAAGTCCCTAAATCTAGTCCTAATGAGAAACCTAGTTCAATTGAGTCCCAAGAAAATCTAGTAGATAAAATTGAGTGTTTTGAATATGGAAAACTTTGTTTGTAGATGAGCAAATTCGGTCTTATTGCCTACTTGATTTAGGTGTAACATTTCATATGATTCAACATATAGATTGATTCTATAAATACCAACGATATGATAGAGGCATTGTTTACATGGAAACAATAACTCATGTAAAGTGGACTAACATACATAATCTAAGGTATTAAACACGTTCCAAGTCTCAAAAGGAGTCTCTTATCCTTGAAAATATTTAATGAGCAAGTTTTAAGTTTATAAATAGGAATAGATATATGAAAATTTCTAAAGAAGCATTAGTGGTTATAAAAAGAGAATTAGCAAGCAATTGGTAGATAATTGTTGGAGAAACAATTTTGGGCATATACGAATACTGCATAGGTGGATTCCATCACAACATGACATGCATGTTTGGGTCACATAAGCGAATATGAATTCAAAGTACTTTTTGATAAAAACCTCCTCTCTTATTGATTACAAGACAGAGATTCAGATAGGTTACTTGTTGATTATTCTTTCCTCTGTGTTTTTTAGTGTAATGCCTAATACTATTTGATTTTCAAAGGAAAAGAGAACTAAGATTGATGAAAAATCCAAAATATATTTTTCTTGGTTATGTTGATGGTATAAATAGGTATAGATTATGAGATTCTACTGACTACAAGATTATTATTAGCCGAGATGGCATGGGAAGTATTTTCATGCATACCAAACGGGTCATTAAAGCTCAGTTGGCTAAGAAATTTGAGATGAAATATTTTGAAGCATTGATTAAATTCTTAGGATCAGTGTACTTAGAGATAAAACAAAAAAGAAAACTTTGGTTAACTTATAACAGTTATGTGAATAGGGTTCTACGTCACTTCAATATACAGAACACCATATACGTTAGAACCTTGTTTCTTGTGTATATAAAGTTGTCTTCTAACCAATGTTCTAGCACCGAAGTAGAGAAGACATATATGTCTTGGATACCTTACTCACCAACAGTAGAGAGCCTCATGTTTGTTATGGTGAGCACTAGAGCTGATATATTACAAACATTGGGAGTTGTGAGCAGATACATAGTAAATTTTGGTCATGATCTCACTAGACCAGTGTGAAGTGGATCATTAGGCATTTGAAGGGAACTTGTACTACTAGTATTTGCTAAAGTGTAATAGATTTGAAAGTCATCAGTTATGTTGATGCAAATCTTGCAAATAACTTGGATAAAAGAAAGCCTACTATTAGATACGCTTTTTTTTATAGGAACTAGTGTAGTTAGTTGGTTATCAAGGTTGCAGCTTGTAGCAGCTTTGTCTTCTATGGAGGATGAGTATATTTCATTTACTCATGCATCTAAAGAAGCGATTTGGCTAAACAGGTTATTTGGTGACTTCTAAGTGTAATAAAGAATATAACTTCATTTTTATAGCTAGAGTGCCTTGTTCCTAACAAGGAATCCAACCTTCCACCATATAACTAAGCATAATGATGTTTAGTGTCACTTTGTTAGTGATGCGGTAGAAGGTGAAAAAATTTTACTGCAGAAAATTCATATTGATAACAATCTAGCAAGAATGTTGACTAAACTCATCGAGAAGGGGAAGTTCACTTAGTGCAGAACTTATTTGGGCTTATGGTTACTTGATGATTAATTACTAAGAGGCAGCAATTTCTTGTTAGATATGGTGAAGCCTATGTTTTAAGGAACAATAATTTACTTGAATCCTTGTTTCTTTGTTTTTTTATTTTAAGGGAATTGGAATATTTATCTTAGGAAGATCCTATTATTTAGGATGACAATTAGAAGATATGGGAATCAAGACTCCTATGGAGAGGGGAAACCTTTACTAAGTCTTAAAAGATAAGGGGAGAGATGGGCATGTGATTTGCCATATGGGTTTCTTTTCTTTGTAAAAGTTGCATCTGGTAGAAAGAGAATATAACACACATGGAAAAGTAAGATGCAAAAACACAGAGAAAAAGATGAGTTTTTTTTAGTCTTTGGGTGGGTATTCTAGAGCTTGTAATCTCTTGTATTCTCCATACGAGCATAATGTTTTTCTGATTAGTGGAAAAGAACTTTGCTGCCCCGTGGACAAACCACGTAAATCTTTGTATCTCTCTTCTTTTATTTTTCATTTACTTATTTTTACAAAACCTTAGTTTTTATCTTCTACATTTCTTGAAGTAGACTAGCTAGAATATACACATGTCTTCAAATGGGAGAATGTTAGCATGAAGCCATGTTGTAAGGGATTTTGCATGAATCCTTGTCTCCTTATTTTAAGGTACTTGATGTATTTTATTATCTAATGATATCTTTAGTTTAGAAAGATCCTATTACACTGGAAAGGAAAATTAAGGTGATTTGAATTGAGATACATTAGAATCCTTTTCGTGGGAAACTAAATCCCATATTTTAAGAAATCCAAATAAAATTAGGAATGGGAGAGAGGGGTCACATGGATAGTCTTTGAAAGTAAAAATAAAAAGAGAGGATGAGTTCTTGTAGTGCTTTTGGTGGATGTTCTAAAAAAAAAAAGATTTTATTTTAGGGCTTGTGAGAAGGCCTTGTATTCGACATGCAGGATTTTTTTTAATTAGTGGGAGAGATTTTTGCTGTCCTGCTCGTGAATAGAAGCAATTTGCCGAACTATAAAAATCTTGGTGTTTTTCTCTTTTATCTTCTACTCTAATTTTTTTTTTCTTTCTGTTTTACATTTTTTCCAAACTTTGGTTTTTATCCTCTACATTACTAAGAATACATTTTATATAGGAAAAGTGAATAAAGATCTAATTTATTTTTAATGCAAGGAGATCACAGTCACTCTTGTTCGTCAAATTCAAATCGGGTGGTTGTGAATGTGTCATATACTAGACTCAAAGTTCAATTTCTCTAATTTTGTATCACACTCCAAATTATCCAATTTGACACTGAATGTCAAGTAGCAATTGTGACCTCCTTGTATAAAAAATAAATAGTTTCATTGCGTACTATTCTCTTTGTATAAGGCAACAATTTTGCTTGTAGAGAATGGGGTTGGGTTATGATGGTAGCACCACTTGTGCCCTAGCTAAGTTTTAGGGTTCCATTATCATCAAGCATACTATTAAAAAAAAAAAAGAAAAAAGAAAAGAAGAAGAAGGATAGAGGCTCGTCATCCCCAACTGAATCCCAAAAAAAAAAAAAACAATATTACTTGTAAAAATAAAGTTGCAACCGTCCAATTAAATTGAACTTGCAAACATATTTCTTGCGAGTTTGCAAACCGTCCCTTCCTATAAAGATTCCGGCCCTTTTAACATTGTCCGGGGCACTTCCCAAAAAAACCAAGAGCCGCTGGACGGGGGTATTGGGGTTGAACCAGCCGTTTGCATTGGAGCGGCTCCTTCTTCCAATCCCAAGCCTTCTACCTGCGCCAGACCACACAGCACATAACTACTCAGTTCACGCCCACTTTATACTGCAAACCACGCGGGTCCAGAGAAAAGGAAGATAATGGTTTTGTGGGTTTTTGGTTACGGGTCTCTAATTTGGAAATCAGGGTTCGATTACAAGGAGCGCCTGGTCGGATTTATTAGAGGTTATCGCAGAGTCTTTTATCAAGGTGTCTCTCTTTTTCTTTTACTTTATTTATAATCTGTTCTCTCTCATAAATGTGATTATTCGCTCTGATTTGTATTGCTTTATTATTCTCTCCATCAATATGTGATTATATGAATATGTGATGCTCTGTTCCAGGGAGTACAGACCATAGGGGAACACCTTCCCATCCGGGCAGAACAGTCACATTGGAGCCCCATGACGGGGAGCTCTGTGTAAGCACCCTGAAACCCAACTCTCTCTCTCTCTCTCTCGCTCTCTTTCGCTCTCTTCCCCTCCATTTGTATATCATTCTTCAATTTCTTTCTTCGCATTGCATTTGATATATCAAGAAAATAGAAGCGGTTCAAGATGTGAAATGGGATCTTTCTTTTGTGATCTCAAAAGTAAAAAATTGGGTTTTGTTTTAAGTACTAAGAAACTGATTATTGTCATCAGATATCGGGGTCTTGAGGTTTGTTTTAATTTTAGTAGAGCATTATTTGTGTCTGGATTTAGTGGGTATGCAAATGATTACGTTACCAATTACTTGTTGCGATTGGTTAAGGCATGCACAACTCAGGTTGAAATGCTATTTGTTTTATATTAGCAATTAGTCCATTTCACCAATTAGCTGGCATTCTTATTGCTTATTTTGTGTTAATGAAGACATTGTGGTGGTGAATTAGTGATATAGCTTTTGATCCTTGTAGAAGTTCTTGTTAGGTGAGAGAAACATTCATATATGTAGAAAATGGTTCTCGTCTTGTTATGATTTTTGAGTGTTTTTTTTTTTATGATAGGTATGATTCTTGTTTACATATGTTTGTGCTTTCAAACTATTCGTGCAAGATGGATAATATTTTGTTGGATCGGCTGTTCATGTGAGGAGCCACAAATGGAAAAGGGTCCTTGCTTCAATCATGAACTTTTCTTAAACAGCATATATTTTTACTGCTTTTGAATATTATTGCTTTTGGCATTGTTTCCTTTCTCTTTAGTAGCCTACACTGAATTTTTTCTATGTTGGCATTTGCTCATATTGATTTCTATACACCTACATAGAGACATCCAACTTCTGTATGCCTGCATGGTACTAGTCTTTCCTTTGTTGGCTTCATAAGGAGGTAGAACTTAAACCCATCTTTTCTGAGATCTTTAATGATGCTTAATAGTAGCAAGCGATGCAGGGGAAGCAACTTGATTAATTCATTGCTCTCCGACTGCAATATCATTCTGCTTTCTTTCATGGGAGCACTCCATTTAATTCAAATGTGTTATTATCCATCTCACTCTTGAAGTAGAAATCCAAATGCAGCATCTCTAGACCATTTCCAAATATTATGACCTATTTATGTCCCGAAGCAAGTGAATAAAATTTTGGGTTAAACTGTCTATTAGTGCTCTATCGGCTTTTGTCAAAATCTTGGTGACCCATTGCTCTCCATTGGCAACATGGCGTCATGGTGGTCATGATTTCTTGTGAAAGGATGATGCTTTGGCTGCTTAGCATTGCTTTCAGCACTTATTTACTTAATCCAGCCAATATCTTCTGATGCTAGATTTATGCAGTGGCATTGATGTGAACAAATGATTGAGTATTGAAATTCTGATGGTATTTACATTTATTGGTCTAACTGAAATTCTTGAGATATGAAATATTTGTTAGTACTACTTATCGAGGTTCAGAGAAATGAAGCAATGGTTACATAATGAAGTGATCTACTTAGTCCTTCTTTCCTTTCATATCAACTTCCTCATCTATATGCTTTTCATTTTATGGCATGATATTTACTTCTCATAATTTGTATATCACTTTTTCTTTTGTCTCATTTGATTCGAACATGTTGCTAGTCTTTAGACTGGTTCATATATCAACAGAATACATTTGTCTTTGCAATTTGCAGTGGGGGGTCGCGTATAAAGTTTCTGGAGAAGAGAATGAACAAATAGCTCTGTCGGTAAGAATAACTTCAAGAAAGATAATGGTTCTGGAAATTATTTTAAATGTCTTAGTTCAATATTTAGGTAATGTTACTATGTGACCATGACATATTTTGATTGAAAATGTTACATTTTTTTATTGAAAATGGCAGTCTATTTTAAATTAATGCTTGGGTCTGTTAATGTTGATTGGACACCATTATTTAGGATTATTTTGTATAAGATATTTTTTGGTTATTTTGTGATACTCATTTACTAGGAGAGTGAAAAATAATTTTGCATAGTATGATTATACAAACCACAATCTAACACCAGTTTCAAGGCCTCGTGTTTTGATCCCCTCAGTTATTGGTGGAACTATAAAATGCCACTTTTGAATGTGGGAGGAAACTTGGTATTTTCCCTTTTCACCCCACTCACATAATGTCGGGTTTTGGATGTCCGTTGACTTCTACTGAGCTTTTAAAATGGCATCTAATCAAATGTTTCCAACCACATGTCTGTCCATATTCAACATGCAGACCCAACCAAACCCAAGTGGGTTTGCGATGACATCCAAATTGGCCCAGCCAGAGGACCCAAATGGAGTAGCCGATGGAGAAGGCTGCCTTGCCAACTGCAAAATAGAGGGAATGCAATGTCTCAAGGTTGATTAATGTTTTATAAATTTTCTTAGACCAACTGTTTGTAGAAGAATTATCAATTGGGAAGGCCATACCAAGTGTAATGCAGATAATGGAATGCCTTAAAGGTTGACTATCATTTCAAACGGAAAATCTGGTGTCTTGGAGTTAGATAACCATAAACTTAGGTAAAATGTCAAGCGGTGAACACCTGTCACAAGAATCAAATGGTACCCTATTCCTTGAGATAACATCCGGTAGGTCCCTAGAAATAGAGTGAATTAAGGGCAAACTATGTGGGGTGTTTTGTAGTTTTACACAAAATCAAAGTCCATCTTTTTAGGATAGAGAGAGCTACCAGGTGTGAGAGAGATAGAGGCATTGTGGATGAATATAGATATGAACTATTTTCCTAGATTTGTGGGAAGAGTGATGTGTAGAGAGTGGGATACATTTTAGGTGATATCCTTTTCCTAACATCTCTCACTCTCTCTTTCAATAATCTATCTCTAGTACGTTCTATTTAGTGTAATTTAGATGAAACTCCCCCATTTGAAGGAATCTTGATGGAGGGAAAAATTATATTTGTTCTCTATTTTTATTCTATTTTTTTTATAATGTTGACCTTTAATCATAAAAAGAGGAGTACAAAGAGCTAGGCGATCCACAAAGCGGATGCTCTAGGATTGAAATAAAATAAAAGTGCAGAATTAAAAAGCCTTCTTTTGGAAGGTTACAAACAAGAAAGCAACCCCAAAAAAGATGCCAATTCAAAAAGTCCTGCTAGGTTCCGCCCATTGATGCCGCTTCTTTAGCTAGAGTGTCTGCTACCTGGTTTCCTTCCCTCCAGGTATGCTTCCATAAGATGCACATATCCTTGCATAGGTAGTCAATCTCATCAAAATAGTGAGTCAGGAACCAAGGTGGGGTTATTGGAAATATCTTGGGTCGATGATCTAGGAGATTGAAGAGATTGAGGAAAATGTCTCACATAGAATTAGAGCTAGGTGGGCGAAGTTGAGATGTGCATCTTGAGTTTTGAAACTGAAAGGAAAGTTCTCCAGGACAATTGTAAGATCAACCATGCTTTATGGTACATAATGTTGGGTGGTCAAGAAACAACATACCCATTGGACGAGTATAGCTGAGATAAAGATGTCGAAATTATGAGTGACAAGACAAGAAATGATAGAATTCAAAATGAATACATTTGAGGAAATTTAGGTATGGCTTTAATAGGTGATAAGATGTGGGAAAGTAGACTTAGGTGGGTTGATTATGTGCAGCATAAGCCTAATACAACCCCAGTTACGAGGTGCAATTTGGTTCAAGTAGAAGGCTCTAAAAAGGAAAAAGGGAGGTTCAAAAGGATATGAATGGAAGTAATGAAAAAATATATGGTGACTTCTGATCTTATTGATGGTATGGCCCTTACTAGTACAGAATAGTGAAATAGGATTCATGTAGACGGCCCCAAATAGTTGGGATAAGGCATGGATGACAATGATGATGATGATAACATCTTTGAATTACGAGAATGAAAATAGCATATTATTTTTGGTAAAAAGTGTGATTGAAATGCTCGTAAGACAAACCGCACGGTAATTGTGAGCGGAGAATTTGGATGGCCCTATTCAAAGACCTTTATGCTTGCAAGCTAATTTCCTCAAAGTCTCTTCTTAGGGTTGTCAATTAGGTCGGATCGACTAGACTTGGTCAAGGTATGGACCCACCTATGCATCCAATGAATTGGGTCCCAAATGGGCAAAGCCGAACCCCTTTTTGTGTGGGTCCAGGTCTGTGCTCAGATTTGGACTAATGGGGTTTGGTCTGGGTCCATACATGTTTGGATCGACCGGACTAATTTTTCTTTTGTTTTCTTTTTCTTTTGGTTTTTGATTTTCTGCTTTTGGGGTCTATACGACTCGGCCTACTCTACTCAAACTCAGCCGAGTTACCAGGCTCTGTCCAGGGCTGAGAATTTAGCCCAAGTCAAGTTAAAAATCATTGCCTAACGACCCTAACCCCATCTGTCACATTGCATCCCCACCAAAGTAACTTCCTTTCAACTCAGGCTGTTGTAATCATGGTACATGTTCCCCTATGGAAGCATACCTTGTTCTTTTGCCACAAGAATAGTGATGTGTCCCCCACATCTCTGTTTTTTCTCGTTGACGAAGTCGAGTAGTGAGTAGATGCTCCCTGTAATTTCATTGTCATATTTCAGTCCTCATATTCAATCATTTGATCATTCCCCTTCCCCCCAATTCATTAATCATGATTCCAAACTTTGATAGCTGGTTTCAAAGGTTTGAGGATGCATATAAAATTAAATTCCATAAAACATTTGTCCCCATTTTAATTTTTTTTGTTTATAATATTCGTCTCATTTTATATGTTAGTGCAGTGTTTTAAAGCCTGTGACCTGGATTGGGAATCCCTGATGCAGATTTAATTCAGCGATGTGGCATTCCCAGTGTGTCCCGACCTCGGAATCCCCCAATATTAACATTTTATAAAAAAATTTGCTGACTTTTCACTGATTTAGGCATTCCAGATTGCTGATCCGGCTGATTCAGATGGATATAGTGGGTAATCCAACCAAAACCGTACTCTGGGTTTTAAAAACTATGTTAGGGTGTTGTTAGCTGGCCTTGCTAGTTTGGTGGCACATTGGAAGATATGCTTCACAGGGGGAATGACTATGCCAATTGACTTAAAAAAGTCTTAAAGCTGAAGCTAGTTTGTTCCTTAGAAAGTCTGTATACCTCACAAAATCTTGTCAAATATGAAACCGCTCTGGAAATTTATTATCAAAGTGCCGAGGCTCTCTGTTTGTGAGGTTCCATTTTTGATGAATTTAGTACTGCATGCTATGCGATAGCTGGATCTTGTGTTTGTCACAGAGCACAACATTTGCATCCAGCTTTGAACTCAACATGTTCTTTATTTATTTTGCATATTTGTTTCCTTCATGTGGTTATTATGTACTCTGGTGCAAGTGCAGTATCTTGAAGTAAGGGAAAAGCAGTATGACGATAAGGCCTATCTTGATTTCTATACTGTAAGTCCGGATTTCCAAAGATTCTTCATCCGTTAAACAATGAAAGTTTGAGTAGTATACGTCGTTCACAAGAATGCTTATTCAAAGTTAAAAGACGCTTATTTCAGGATCCATCATCTTCGGTTCCTGCAGTCAGAGGAGTATTAGTGTGAGCAAACAAGCCCCATTCTTTGGCATTTCCTTTCGTGTGAAAAACTGGCCTGACCCTAGGATCCATTGTGCAGATACATTGCCTCGCCTGACAAGAGGCTCAATAAGAACTATCTAGGCCTAGCATCTCTGGAGGAAATAGCGAAGTATGTATCTCCTTTTCTTTGTTAACATAATGTAATCCACTCACATCAGTGTTCACAATCCCAACTCTCTCTCTCTCTCTCTCTCTCTGGTGCAGCCAAATTATTAGTTCCCAGGGCCCTTCTGGCCCCAACAGAGACTATCTGTTTGAGCTGGAAAGCGCCCTCCTTCAGCTAGGTAAGGTCCTTTCAGCTCTCAATATGCTTACATGACCGCAGTATATTCCCACCTTTTTTTTTTCTGAGAATTGTTTACATTCTCTTCTTCTTGTTTGCCTTTATTTTATGGTTTCTTTTTTGGATTTGCAGGATGCAAAGATGCCCATGTCATGGATCTTGCGGCCATTGTACGAGAAATTCTCTCAAAGAAAGAAACAAATTCATGATGAGCATCTGCTGCAGGTTTTTTAATTTCGAAGGCCTTTACCAAAATAAAGTCAAAAGCTATCTTTATGTGTACTGTTATTTTACAAAATCTAGGGCACAATTACAAGCCAAAGGATCCTCGTCATCCTTCTTCATTGTCATAATCCTCATCCTCCTCAAATGTTTTGTCGAAGTGAACAAGCTGAGATGTGTCAATACCAATTTCGGGGAGAGACCATCCTGGATACTCCACATGGTTATCGTCCTGCGTTATTTGCTTGCCTGTAGTGTGCTCATTCACGTGCATGTTAAGATCAAAGTTAATTCCAGTAGGGCTAGTTGTGTTGCTGGCTATGTTTTCCTTTCTTTCAGTTTCATCTTCCAATATTACTCCTTCGCCACATGGTTTGTCATGCTCAGTCGACACAGTTACATCATCCTCGCAATTTTCAATGTCGATGCGGTCTCTGCCACTAACCCTGCCTCTGCCTCTACCCCTACCCCTGCCTCTACCACCCCTCCCACGACCCCTTCTGCTCATTAGATGGATCCCCTGCCATAATAGTTTGTTATTGTACTGTTTTATAAGCAAACACGAGAGGGTAGAAATAGAACCACCATTTCTTTTCAAAGGTTTATTTGGTTTTAAACCCATAACCTCAAATATAAAGGAATGAACTTGTTGAATTAATTAGAGAGGAACTTTACTCACCGCCTTTGCCCTCTTCACTTCATCAGTTTCGACATCTTCCTCTAGGTTCTTCCTGTAAGTCTGAAAGAATTTAGGAGATTCATACTTATTAAAATAAAAAGGAGAGAGAAGAAAGATATGGTCGCTCCTTGAATTACCTCCGCCTTAATATGCTTCTGTCATCACCAATGCCTTCAGACCCACCCAAATCTGGTACCTTTTGCACTATGTCTCTTAAGAAATCAAACACATTGTATCTTTGCACACAATGCTTTCTGAAATCAATGAAAAATTCAATAGTAAGTCTTAAAATATTAGTGCTAATCAGAATAACAATAATCAAAGTTGCAACTTTATTTATTTATTTAAAAGCTTTTTCATTCTTTTTTGCAGGTAATGGTCTATAATTGCAGAATATTTTTGCATCTATCAAGGTTTCCCTGATTTTGGGAAATGAGAGCTCAATATCAAGCAATGAAATGTGGGTTCTACATTATTTTACTATTGAAATTATCAGTGAATGTTAACCAATAACTTCTCATTTGGTTCATGATTCAAATATAACACAAGTGCAATGGATGCACCATCTGCTTCTATTGTGTTATCATGCACCTCAGTATTTTCGGAGTGATACAGACATTTGATTGCACAGTGCATTGATTGTCAAAATCTATTTCGACAATGTTAATTGACTTCTGCTTTAAGCAATTGGTCTCTTGTCTAAACCTGTTATATATTTGATACGCTTTGATTCTTTGATCTATAGCATTTCTTATGGGGGAATGAAAAAATTGGCAAGGGGACAGCGTCTCGAAGATCCCATCAACATGAGACAAAACAGTCATTTTCAATTGTTAATCCCCAAGTTGTGAGTTTTGATGGTGATGGGGATGCTCAGTATGCAGGCTTTGGTGAGCTATTTGGGGCATGCTCTGAGACAAGTATTAGAAGCTATGGATACCAATGGTTAATCTTATCTTCTCATTCTACCAAGGAAAATAGCTATTGCTGCTCAGCAGTGAGTACACAGCATGTGAAGGGAAAGAAGGGGATTAAACAAAATGCATAGCTGACAATGAATTTAAGAAACAGAGAAAAGATGTTCCTCTCTTGAGAAAAGGTTTGGCATATATCAATGGACACATATATCGACATGAAATCGGTTCGACTTTCACTTGACATAGCATTGACTGATTAGAAAGGGTTCAATGGCCTGGATAATTGAATTTGAAGCCCTTTGGACAGTTCAACTTATAACTAAACAATAAATGGCTAAACATTGTGCATGTTCACTCAACAAAATAAGAAATATTGACTGCTACAATGAAGCTGAGAGAAGCCTGCAGTAATTTTGGTGGCAACTGCCAGAACAATATCCAACATGCAGTCGCTAAAGGAAGCAATTGGATTTTCATTTACAAAATATATGAAGATTAACTAGCAACCCAACAACTTTGAAATTTCACTTTGCATTGGTTATACATTAGAAATCAAAGCAAATCCAATAAAAACCTTGAACCACATGACTTGAAGCATTTCTAGTTACATTTTATACCATTGAACTTGTTAAGTGGACTATGAATCTAAAACAGTTCAAAGTGGGCAAGGATTACCAGTTTGGAATGTTATTAATAAAGAGTAGAACGGGAAAACAATATTCATGCAGTGACCCTAAATAGTTGGGATAAGGCTCAATGATAATAATAATGATTAATATTGCACATGAATGTCTAGTTGGGATAAGGCTCAATGATAATAATAATGATTAATATTGCACATGAATGTCTAGTTGGGATAAGGCTCAATGATAATAATAATGATTAATATTGCACATGAATGTCTGGTTCTCAAACGTGGTTTTAGTCACAACAAATCCAAGCTATTTTGGGCTTTCTAGAAGTGAACTGCTTTTAGGTTTTTCTTGTTTGGGAAAGAATGCAGTGAAAATGATAGTTACATTGAGACTTGGACCTCAATGAATATGTGGCATCCCTCTCAACAAGCAATATAGCACATCAAAATGTATATTGTGATTTACCTTTCATGCAGGAACGTTTCCTTTATTGGATGATTAAGCGAGAACTATGATTTCATGTCCTGAATGAGTGGAGTGGACCTTGGTTCTCTCTCTCTCTCTCTCTCTCTCTCTATATATATATATATATATATAATTTCATGCAACGGTTTTATAATAGTATAATACAACCACACTTCTAGAAAACCATGCTTGTATCATATATACCACCCAAGAAATTGCACATACCCTTCTCTTCATCCCAATAGTCAATTTTGAAAAAAATAAAATTCAATTTACATCATATATATGATTAAAAGGAGTACCTTCCAACAGCAAATCTGGACCATCCATTTTACAAATTTCAAGATCTAGGCCTTTACGAACTCCAAACCATTTTTTTTTTCTTTTTCAACATTGTTCATCTAATGATAAATTGATAACAAAGCTATCTTAGAATTTTGAAAAGAAAAAAACCTTTCTAAAGCCTAAATCTAAGCACCTTAACAAAATGGATGGCTTATGTTGAATTGGGCTAAAATAACACTTTCTAAGGTGCATTTTCATTATTTTTTTTGTTGTGATTGTTTGATGGAATGAAAAGAGTGAACATTTAAAAATTGGGATCCAACAAATGGCACTAAGATGATTTTTGAAGGTTGTTGTATTATGTTATTATATACAACCATTGCATGAAATCCATTCCCCATACTATATAATATAATATAATATATATATATATATAGTACGTG